ATAATACCTTGTAAAGCTGAAGATATGAACATTCCACAATCTAGCAATTCCACTCCTGGTATTTACCTTCAAGAAAATCATACAGGGCTTCCTTCCCTGGTGGCACAGTGGTTGAGAGTCCACCTGCCGATGCAGGGGACACGGGTTCGTGCCCCGGTCCAAGAAGATCCCACATGCCGCGGAGCGGCTGGGCCTGTGAGCCATGGCCACTGAGCCTGCGCGTCCGGAGCCTGTGCTCCGCAGCGGGAGAGGCCACAAAAGTGAGAGGCCCACGTACCGCAAAAAAAAAAAAAAAAGATACTCATACATATGCATGAGGAAATAGGTATTAGTATACATACTGCAGTATTTTTTGTAAACGTTAAACCTGGAAACACCTAATGTATATTAAAAAATATATAATGGCACAGTAATATATTGTAATACCATTAAATAATTAAAATACTTAAAACTATACGTATCAGGGCTTCCCTAATGGCGCAGCGGTTAAGAATCTGCCTGTCAACGCAGGGCACACGGGTTCAAGCCCTGGTCCCAGAAGATGCCACATGCCACGGAGCAACTAAGCCTGTGCGCCACAGCTACTGAGCCTGCACTCTAGAGCCTGCGAGCCACAATTACTAAGCCCGTGTGCTGCAACTACTGAAGCCCGTGCACCTAGAGCCTGTTCACTGCAACAAGAGAAGCCACCGCAATAAGTCCATGAACCACAACGAAGAGTAGCTCCCACTCACCGCAACTAGAGAAACCCTGTGCATAGCAACGAAGAACCAACATAGCCAAAAATAACTAAATAAAACAAATAAATTAAAAAAAAAAGAATGACACCTGTTCTTTAAAACAAACAAACAAACAAAAACTACATGTATCAACATGGATAAATCTCAAAAGCAATGTTGATCAAAAAAGGCAAGTTTCTGCCTAATAATTCTCTATAAAGTTAATAATACTATGCTTTGTTAATAAATATATAGAAATGTGGGAAAGAACGATATCGTGCATGAAAATCACACTAAATTTAGGGCAGTGGTTACTTTTGGGCAAGAAGTGAGGCAAATAGAATCAGAGCAATATGTTTTCAATATTTAATTTTAAAATATACAGATCTGAAGTAAATATGGCAAAGCTTTCAGATTGGACAAAGCTGGAAGATGGATGTGTGACTATTCATTACACTATTCTCTCTGGTTTTCTACCGAAGAAAAGATTACTCTGGTGGCAGTATGGAAAATGGACTGGAAGAAGGCAAAAAGGAAACAAAGAGTACAACCAGAAGACTTTTGAAATCTAGTGAGAATTGTAAGCAGTAACAAGAATAAAAAGGAAAGTTCCACTCCTGAGAAAGGAGTGGAACTGAGAGATATTTAGGAAATAAAATCAGTAAGAATAGGTGACAGATTAAACATAAGAAATAAGAGCAAAGTGGAAATTTTGGGTTCAAAGTCATTCTTCCTCAAAATAGAAAAGTAGGTAGAAAGCATTTTAGAAGACCATGTTTCTTTTTAGAACCTGTTGAGCTTGAAAGGCCCATTCAATACCCCAGTCAAAGATCCAACAGGAGGCAATACAGCAAAGTGGTTAGCATCAAAGGCTCTATCAAGTGTCCTGGGTTCAAATCCAGGTTCAACCACTTAATCACATTAATTAACTATTCCAAGCCTCAGTTTCCATATCTGTAAAAAGTGGTGGGGATGTTAATAAAGGTAACTATTTCCATGAAGTTTCTGTGAGATGAAATTAAGATGCCTGTCAAGTGCTGAGCAAAGTCTTTGGCACAGACTAATTGCTCAATTAATGCCTACGGCTACTATTTATGATTTCTCTTTCTCACTTATAGGACATATTTCTATACAATCACTTCAATGATTCCCACCTTGGTTCCTGGAGCATTTATTTCTATAAATTATATTATTTTGCATATGAAGGCTTTTATAGAATTTTTAAGATGCTTATTAATGGTATACCTTACTTAAAATTGTCAAACAGGGCTTCCCTGGTGGCTCAGCAGTTAAGAATCCGCCTGCCAATGCAGGGGACACAGGTTCGAGCCCTGGTCCGGGAAGATCCCACATGCCACGGAGCAACTAAGCCCATGAGCCACAACTACTGAGCCTGTGCTCTAGAGCCCGTGAGCCACAACTACTGAAGCCCGCATGCCACAACTACTGAGCCCGCACGCCTAGAGCCCGTGCCTAGAGAAGCCACCATAATGAGAAGGCCGCGCACCACAACAAAGAGTAGCCCCCACTCGCCGCAACTAGAGAAAGCCTGTGTGCAGCAACAAAGACCCAGTGCAGCCAAAAATAAATAAATTAAATAAATTAATTAAAAATAAATCAATTAATATATCTTTAAAAAAAAACTGTCAAACAATTTCACTAAAGTCAGCATCATTTTCCAACTCAAGAACATACCCTTTATTACCTGAAAGTATTATACATGATATCTAGACCCAATTCCTATGAAATTCTACTAAATATATACATTCAATCATTATCTAGTAGAAAGCATACAAGGAATATGCCAAGCATGTGGAGGTGATAACAATAAAGAAGACAGAACAGTCCTAACCCAAATTATAGTCTCTATATGTTTTGCTAAGAAATAATTACAATGCAGAATAATAATCCTAAAATAGGGGACAGAAACTCTCCCAGAATTTAAGTTAAAGAGCATCCTAAAGGATGGGGTATCTGATGTGAAAGAAAAGTAGAAGTTAGCTAAGTAAGGCAGGGAAGTGGAAGCTGAATTTAAAAAATATAGTGTCCTAGGCAAAGGAAACATTTTTTTCCCAAAGGTCCAGAATTGAAAGAGAATGTAGACTGTTAAATGAGCTGAAAAAAATTTAGTACACATAAAGTATGCAATACAAGTATGGAGTAGTGAAGCATAAAACTGATGACATACATAGAAAAGAGACTGGGAAGAACTTTAAGTCATACTCTATATGATCCATTTAAATGACATAATGCTTAAGAGAGCTTAGGAAAGTTCCTGGTACAAAATAAGTACACATTGAACATTATTCGCTTACTTTAACCTAATGCTCTCCCTTTTTTTGCCATAATCCGGAATGCTCTCACCAAAAAATATTTTCCATGTGGTCCTCCTTAGTTGGTTGACAGAAAAACAGTATGTAGAGAACTTATAAATGTCTTAGACAGTCTGTTCTTTCATTTGTAAAATGGGAACAATAATACCAAACTTGCAGGCTTGTTATAAGACCTAGAGAGAATGTGAAGAGTTCCTAGAAGAGTGCCAGGGCACACAATAAGGACCCCCAAAACAGTTCCTACTAAGGCAGATCAGCAGACAAGCCAAAAAAAAAAGAAAAGAAAAGTGGAAAGCTTTGGCTTCACTTCAAGGTTATGCAGTAGGAATGCCTCAGAAATAAAATCACCTTATTCTCTTGGAAAACAGGATAAGATCCACCAAAAATGTTAGAGTAAAATTAAAATAAAAGAATCAACACCAGTCTGATGATGTGTTTATTTTCTCCTAATATGTAAGCAATTTCAAAAAAGAAAAACTTATCTTTTATAATTCACTTTTTTCACAACTACCTTATATTAAAAGTTATATACATACAAGAATCTTCAGAAAAAAACCTTCTCAAACCCATTGCCCTAAAACAATTGATTTCATTTTACATAATTATTTCCAAGTGCTTTAACCACAATAATTTTAAGGCTTTTCCACTCCATATTACACTGTTCTGATTTAGGACCCAGACCAAATGGATATTAGATAAGCACTGTTTCAAGAGTATTCACTTTTGCAAAAGCAAAATAAACTCTCTGGGTACATTTAAAACAAGACAGTTTATCATAATTCAATGTGTAACCTGTATAAATTTTATACCATGTAATTTTTGTCTGATTCTAATTTGTCTTACTGTCAACCTAAAACAGTTATATCTAGCTACTCCTTTTTCTCCCTAGTGGTCTCATTCAAGGTCAGCTTAATTCTAAGAAAATTTTTTTGATATTAATCCTGAATGAAAACAAATCCTAAATGGCAATAAAATATCACAATGCATTTCACAAAGAAAGCATCAAACTACATCACCTTCTTAAAAAGCAAAGAAAATTTTACCTGAAGTAAACTAAAGGATGATCTTAACAAAATCAAATACTTTTCATACTACTATACAACTACTATTAACAGAAAACTATAAATGAACTGAAGGTTAAGCTAAGTTTCCCAGGGGAAAAAAAGCTCAGTTCAATATAAAAAGCTTATTCTAGAACTTAATCTCTTAACATTACTAATACAAACTATAAATCCAAAGGAGATAAGAATATCCTTAGGACTTCCAACAGAGAAGGTTTTGGAAAGAGTTATTATTCTAGGAAGAAAAGAAAAAAAAAAAGACCTCACAGATCTTACTCAGTGTCCAAGTACTACTAAATATCTGGTTAGGGTTCACATAAATGCCCTCAATAATACCTTAATGCCTTAAGATCAATTCATCTGAACTTGCTAATGCTAAACTTTCAATTACCATAGTAGAAGTGTTCCCTTCACTAAGTTAACTGTGGCCTCTCAAAGGCATGTCTTACTCTTCTTGTCCTCATCATTTATCATGTAAAAGTGCCAAGGAATGAGTGGAAAATACACTGGAAACCACATAAATAAGTATCAAAAAAACCCCACCAAAACTCTCAGAACTACTAAAAGAGTAAATCGTATGTTCTAAACCTTGAAATACAATAAGGCAAAATTAATTAAGGTGTTTAAAATAATCTTAACTAATGACTAACCACATAAAAAATATTCTCTAACTCTGCCAATCAATCTTCAAAGACAATGGTAAATCTAGGCATAAAACAAGCAATCTCACATCGCCTTCAATACCAATTAATCAATTGACTTCAATTGATCAACTAAATTTCTTATGTAGAAATTGCCCAAATATATCATTCAGCTTAAAGCTGTTACATGTGAACACCTTTCTTCATCTTCAATAACATTAATTTTAATCTCTAGTAAAAACCTACCTTTGAGGTTCGCTGAAGTTGATCACCAACATATGTTTTACGAAACTGATCCAAGAACCACAGAACTGCAAGTTCTATTTTCTCATTAGAACACTGAGGCAATCCGGTATCCATTAAAGATATAAGCTGAAAAACTCTTTTCATGAAGGAAAAAAGAAGCTTCAGTAAAAATTCTTAGAGAAATACCACTAAAACATTTATCATCAATTTTACATAATATAAAAAGTGGAAAAATACAAATGCCTATAAAGAAAATATTTAAAAATCATCTGAAATCCTACCACAAAGAGATACTACAATTTGGTCTAATTCCTTCTAGCCCTTTTTCCTAACACATGCACTTCAGATACATGCATACAAACCTACATGGACATGCATTTATTATTTTACTAAACATTTATATATAGATACATATGACATATACATATATAATATATAGTAAATATCTACAATTATAACTATTATATAAACACAGGTATTAACTTATATATTTATGTATATATATAATATTTTAGTAAAAGAAAAATGATATTGAATGTGTAGTTTTGTAGTTTACTTTTTCATTACAACATATTTTCATATAACTATATATTTTGGGGTCATATGGTTCAAAATACAAAAAAAAGAGGCACAGCCATCAAGCTGTATCACTTTCTTAATGAGTAATAAAAATTTTACCTGAAATAAATTACAAGATGATCTTAACAAAATCAGATATTTTTAATACAAGTATGCAACTATTATTATTAAAAAATCATAAATGAACTAAAGGTTAAATTAAATTTCCTAGAGAAAAAGCTTAATAGAATAAAAAGCTTAGTCTAGAATTTCCCCCCACCCCCAAATCCTTCTGTTATCTATCTATTTACATTAAAATTTTCCAGTGAATGGCTGCCAACTGCCTGGTGCTAACAAAATTAGCATATCATAATAAAATTTTTAAGAAACAGAAGTAGAAGTTCTGGAGGAAACAGCACCTATTTCTCTTTTTTCTCATTGTGCAAAGGCGGCTATGCCTAGCCCTAACCTACTCACTTCCTTCCATGTATGCACACAAGAACATACACACCCATGCTGTTAACAGTTTGTGTCATTCCAGAGACTTTTTAAATGTATGTATGACTATACATTCTCCTCCCAACTCTTTTACACATATGGAGCATACTGCACTGTTATATTGTTAAACCTAGCTTTTTTCATTTAATAATATATCTTAGAGATCTTTTCACGTCAGATATAAAGACCTTCCTTAATCTCTCTTTACAGCTGCTGAATATACCACATTATTTTCATACTTCCCCCCACTGAGGGACACTAAGGCTGTTTATAATTTTTTGCTGTTACAAAAATGCTGCAATTAACAATCTTGTACACATCACTGCACACATGTTCAGTTATAATATACACCAGTAAAAGTCAAATTACTACCTTAAAGAATATGAATTTACAATTTTGATAGCTATTACAAAATTGCCTTCCAATGAAACTGAAACAATTTATACTCCTATCATCAGTAAATGAGAGTGTCTATATACATATAGATAATTCAGGGTGATATTAAACTTTACAATTTACTGGAATCTGAAAACTGGTATCTCAGTGAAGTTTTAATTTGTATTTCTCTCATGAATGTAAAGTCAAAATTTTCCATATTTTAAAGTAATACATATGTCCTTTTGTGTGCCCTTTTTGCTCCTATCCTTTTTTGATTTTTCTGTTGGGTTATTTTTTTATTGCTAATGTCTACAAATTCTTTATATATTAGAAAACTGAGCCCTTTGCCTGTGATTGTAATGTAAATATTCGCGCAGGCTTAGCGGCCATGGCTCATGGGCCCAGCCACTCCGCGGCATGTGGGATCTTCCCAGACCGGGGCACAAACCCGTGTCCCCTGCATCAGCAGGCGGACTCTCAACCACTGCGCCACCAGGGAAGCCCTATGGTGTTTTTTTAATACCATGCATGTTTTTCTTCTTTTTCTCATGCAGAAAACCTTACCAATTTTTCTCTTATGATGGATTTTATATAAAAACAAGGTCTTACCCAAATTTGAGGTGTTTTTGTTCCATCTTTTTACATTCACCTGTATGATACACTGAAATTAATCTTGAACCTATCTGGTGAGATATGGATCAACATTTTTTCACAGATGGCTACCCAGCTGCTTCAACACCATTTCCTTCTTGTATAGTCTGTCTTTTGCCCACTATTTTGAATTACCCCCTGATCACATACATTAGGTCCATTTATGCATTCATATTACTTCCTGGACCATTTATTTTATTCCGTTGAACTGTCTCATTAAACGTATCTTGCCCAATTATTTTTTTCATATGATTAAATAACTTTCCAAAACATTGTATAAAATTAAGGCTACACCAAATTTTAATAATCTCATTTTGAATACAAACTTACATTTCAGTGAAATATAATTACTCTATTCCCTACCAGCAAAGAGTTCTAGGAACAAAATGTCTAGGTTACAGCAAATGAACTTCTTTAAAAAACTTGGTATTTATTGCCAAAGTGTTATGAAATAATATTTTGGTAACCATTTTTATAGTTATTAATTCCTAAACGAAGCTACTTATTTAAAAGTACCTTCACTTACTAAATATCTTTAATGCTATTAAAATTCATAAAGGAAAGCTTATAGAGATCAAATTTAAGAATGAGTCAACCAGGTTTGTTTGTTTTTTCTAAAAAGATGTGTTTATTCTCTGATTTTGAAAGGAGGGACAAAGCTCACTTTTAAAGTCTGTGTATTTGTGAATGCACAGACTCCTGAAGTAATTTTTAGTTAAGTAAATAGATACACACACCAAACTTCATCTCTGGATCCAGGTGATTTCTTAAGTGACTTAAAGCATATCCTGCTTTTAAATTCTTTATGAGTAGGACTTCCTTTTTCTTACTCTGGTTCTTTGTTGATTCTATGCAATTGCTTGTTTACTTTTATTTCCTTTTAATAACATACATTCCAAAAATCTGAGGAAGACATGAAACCAATAGCCAAGTTTGTTGGGGTGCCTTTACAACTCATATCAAGCTGATGATTCACATTTGCTTAAGAGGCAATGCAAATCACCAGCTTGATATGAACTGCAAAGGCCCCCCAACAATCCCCAGCAGGAGAGTAGGAAAGAGTTCCCAGAAGGGTACATGATCCATCTGTCAAATAAGCTTTGATAGTCGTACAAGAAGTTCAGCTGCAAGTGACTGAAATCCAAAAACAATGGCTTAAACCATATAGATGTTTATTTTTCTCTCAAGCAAAAAAAAATTCAAGGCAATGCTCTAGGACTAGTTGGTGTTCCATGGTGTATCAGGGACTCAGGTTCCTTCCATCTTGTTGTTACATTTGCCTCCACTCACCCAATCACTTTACGGTCTAAGATGGCTTCTTCAGCTCCACCCATGTGCATATATGTTACACGTACCACATTCACTTACATTCAATTGCCCAGAACATAATCACTTAACCATACCTAGCTGCAAGAGATTCTAGTAAATCTATTCTTATTCAGGTGGCCAATGCCCAGCAAAACATTTCAGGTATTCTATTACTGCAGAAGAAGGAAAGAAGAGATACAAGACAACTAGTAGTCTCTGCCACAGTGTCCTTCAAAGATCTGTGGCCACCTCTAGTAAGTACATAAGACCAAAACTTGTATTGTATATACAATATTCACTTGTGTTTCCATTTATTGTCCTACATTTATTTTTACCATTATCTTAAACTATCTTTGGAGCATGGAGGAAATAAAAAGATAAATATTAAATAATTTTGATCCAAGTATATGTACACCATTTCAAGTATAAAGAAATGAATGTCTGGATAATCAATTCTTTTATATTCCCCTTAATATCCAACTCCATAAGTATTTATTCAGTCAACAAATATTTGAAGGCCTACAATATGGCACCTATGTATTAGGAGTTAAGAATACAATACTGAGCAAAACATATATATTCCCAGTCCTCCAGAAATCTATAGCCTATGCAGGGAAAGACAGTAAAACAAGCAATTAGAATAAGGAATGACAAGTGCTATAATAAACACTACAAAGAAATTAGCGAGAGTTCCTAACATTCTAGGATGGAACAGAGCAGAGAGTGTCAAGAGAAAGGGGAAAGCATGTGCAGCGGGCGGGGCGGGGGGGAGGAAGAAAACATGGCTCATTTAAGAGCTGAAAAAAAGTTCTATACAGCTATAAGACAGTCAGTGGTACGAGATGAGGCTACTGAGACAGGCAGGACCCAGATTATGAAGAGCCTGATAAATCACATTGATTTTAATCCCAGCAGCAATGAAAGTCACTGCAGACTTTAAGCAAAGCACAGACATAATCAAATCTTTTAGAAAGCCAGAGAGGAAACAAGGTGCCCAAATAAAACTGTAGCATGAATCTGGGCAAATGATGACAGGAGTTAAAACAGCAAGGGTAAGAGAAATAACTGGACTAATTGGGATAAGCAGAAGGTAGAAGTGACAGAATTTGATGACTATATGGATGCTGGTGAGAGAAAAAAGAAAAAGTTAAGGAGAAGTCCCAGGATGCAAGCCTAGGCAATTGAGTGGACAGTGATGAGACACACAAAGAGAGCCAGGGTCGGGAGTGGATGGAAGTGATGAGTTTAAGTTTAGTCACTAAATTAGGGGTACATGTGGGAGAACACATGCAAGGAAAACAGTTCAGTAAGTGTTTGGAAGTCAAAAGATAAGAATTACTAAAATAAAAAAAATTTTTTTTAAAAGAATTACTAAAATAACACAAATCACTGAGCCATGCTGAGGGCTCAGTTAAGGTTAAAAAAAAAAAAAGAAAAGATATCTTAGTTGGCAATGGCACCTATCTAAAGAAGTGTGCAATTTCTTTAATCACTTGACAAATTAAGAGAAAACTCTGAATTCCTTCAGTTTAGGTTTTGCCAGGCAGATGAGATAAAGATACAGCAGTGAACAAAGCACATAAAGCTTATTTCTTCCCTATTCTAGTGGAATAAACAAATAAACATCAAGAGGTAATAAGTACTGTGAAGAAAAATAAAGTAGGATAAGGATGTTATTTTGGATAGGAAGGTCAAAAGAGGTAGAGACATCTGGGTACAGAACTGATTGAAGTGACGGAGTACTACATAAACATCTGGGAGAAAGCATTCCTAGCAGAAGAGAAGCGCAAAGGCCCTAAAGTGAAAACATATTGGTAATACTCAATAGCAAGGAGGTCAGTGTATGTAGCTGAGATGAATGAAAAGGGATAGGAAATAAGGTCAGAGAAGTAGCACAGTACACTGTGGGCTATGGCAAGAATCCGGAATTTGTTTCACGTGTGACAGGAAGCCACTGGAAGTGTCTTGTGTAGAGAAGAGGAAGCAACACTACCGGATGGGAAAGAAGCTGAAGTCATCTACATCACAGCAGGGTTTGGGGCAGAGAGCAAAACACTGAGCTAGCTGCAAAAGTCTTCAATGAATAATGAGGAATGATTGAGAGATGAACAGGTGAGAGCAACATGAAGAAACAGAAACAGATGGTGGCCTGAGAGGAATGAGCCGAAAAGAAGCAGCAACCAGCAAATTAGAGAGGATACAGGATAAGACAAAATCCCTGGGAAGTCTCTCAAGAGGTTTACATTCTGGTCATGATGAATGAAACTGAAATGATTATAAATTTATCTTCATTTAATCAGAATTGTGTGGCCTGAGCACAAATATACTTATTTGCTAAGTTAAAGCAGCATATTTAAAAATGTTAAAGTAACATGTTTTAAATATCATTATCACAATATTGAAAGTTTTTATGAATATCAACCTTTTTCTGATAAAATAACACAGATTTTTGGCAGGAGCTCCTCAACTTCTAATTTGGTAGTGTCCTCCCAGGAGTTAAAAAGGTTATCATATAACACCACCAGAAGGCAAAAGTATGACAGCTCTAGTTACCTGGAATTTCTCCATGTGAAATTGATATTTTAAAATTTTACATATAACATCATTCTTATTTAATTTAAAATCTCAGTATGTTAAAACACATATATTTATGTTTTTTCTAGGCAAATTATGTAAGTCCTGCTACATACCCCACCTTGAATCTGCTCGGCCCTGTTTAACCCCCCACCAACCCCACCACTTGCCTTGTAGTGTCCCTGGGCTCAACCACTTGCCTTGTAGCCCCAGTAAAGACTCGCACAGCTACTGCAGTTATAAATCCTCACTCAGGGGGAGGAAAGGCCTACCATAGCTCCAGCCAGCCCCTACCTCCAACCAACAGGACCAATAGTAGCTCTGGCTTCCCCAGCAGCTCCTCAAAGAGGCCAGGGAATACAACTAAGAAGTATGGAAAAGTTATACACTCCGGGAGTAGATTTCAACCACTAAAATTGGGATGCAGAAATAAGTGAACATATAAACCACTTGCCCTCAGTCCCCATCCCCCCCCACCACTAAGATGGACTGCTTTGAAGCACAGCTGGTTCCATGTGGTCTCTGGGGAAACCTGTAAAAGTGAGCAACCAGGTGTGTAATGCACCACCTTCTATAGTTGATTCTCATTATTTATGGTAGTTATGTGCTGTAAAATGGCCATAAAAACGGAATTAGCAAATACTGAACCACTGCTCCTAGAGGTAATACAGGAATAGGTTCCCGAGGAACTCTGGTCACAATATTTTCATCAACTAATCAACACATAACCTGTTTTATCTTTTACTCACTTTTCTTCATTCTTTCTTCCCTGAAAATGTATCCTTTTCCCCACCCCCACAAAAATATCTTAGCCCATAAACTTCAACTAAGACTTTGTTTCCTAGGGAAGACAGGCTAAACACAAAACAAATCTTACTTAGAGCTAAATATGTTTGCTGCTTAAAGAAAAAATTAAAATTTTCTACTTGGCAGATACTTTTGTTTATTTCCTGTTATATATATTTTTCAGGAAAATAGTGCCAGTGGGAAATTCTCTACTTGATGATGAAAACATTAAAAAAAAAAAAATCAAACCAACTATAGCAAAAACTTTACTAAATATGTAATATTAAAAGATGTTACAGAAGTAAATTGTTCACTTGGTTTAAAATTAATCAAAGCAGGGCTTCCCTGGTGGCACAGTGGTTGAGAGTCCGCCTGCCGATGCAGGGGACACGGGTTCGTGCCCCGGTCCGGGAGGATCCCACGT